AGAACTTGATGAGTTTTTTAGTTTGAGAAATATTTCCTAATTAGGAAATTTGGTGATGGACGGGAAAGAGTTTTTTAATTTTATTTTTATCATATTTCAATATTATAAACACACTTCTTAAGTTACACTCAAGCAAAGTTTTGGATCTCTTGCTTATTTTAATTCAATCTTAACTTTTCTAAACATTTTTTTTTTAATACATAATATTGTGTTAATTTACTATGTACAAAAAAAAATTTTCAAACACAAAAATTAAAATCAACTCCACCTCTTCAAATGATTATCATTTTTTCAACAATTAATCACAAACTGTCAATACAATATTACAACAATCAAACAAGTCTAAACTGGTTTCAAACAACAATAGTATCAACTCTATGTCATATTACTTAGTACCACCTACATATCAAAAAGTGTCAATTCAAATTATGAGTTTAGAGGTTAATCTGGGAATTGTGACTGCAGTACCTTTATATAATTCAGCAAACTTACATATTAGCTCTGAAAAGGTATTAACCATCCAATACTAGAACTAATCTAAAGCACATTAAGTGTGTCAAAAGTAGTAATAGTTAGTATCATAAATAGGTTAACATTAATTTACAAATTTATGCTATAAAGATGTTTAATGTAATTTAAATATTATATACTATATACTGTATATCAATAAAGCTTTATATTTGATGCCTTTTTATAAAAAAAAAAATTTTTTTTATTAATAAAAATTATATATGTAGTACACTTGACTCTTAAAAAAATTTTTTTTAAAAAAAATATAAATTATATTAATTTGAATTAAATAATTAATTGAAAATATAAAGGCTTAAACTAATACATATGAATATAAATTTAAAGAAATCAAATTAAACAATTTTAACTATAATAATTAAAAATTTAAATTTAAAATAAAATAATTTAATAAAAATTATATTTATATACAGGGTATTGCAAAAAAATTTGCAAAAGAATTTTTTATAATTGAAATTTTTATAATTATTAAATATAAGTATTTATTTAAAAAAATTATTTAATTTATTATCTTGTTCTTTTATTTTACTTTTTAAAATCTTTTATTTAAAAAGCAAAATCTATATAAATATGTATATATATTACTTTTTTTAAATAGAAATTAAATAGAAACTAAAAACTATAATATAAAATTTTTATTAAAAATCAAAATATCAAATCAAATTATAAATTAATTAATAAAGTAGTTCTAAATAAAATTATTTTATAGATGTCAATTAATTTTTGTTAAGTTACAAATAAAAATATAATTGTCATTTTTTTTGCAACACCCTGTATATACGTAATTTTATTAGTTATTATCTAATGAATTTATTTATTAAAATAAGTTAATTATTTATAATTGTTTTTTTATTGTTATTAAAAAAGGATCATTTATTTTTAATAAGCTTCTTGTTTAAAATTAAAAATTATTAATTATTTATAAAATTCTAAGTCAAAAAAAAAAATCTAAAAACTTTTGCAACAGATTGTATACAGTATATACGTATATATAAAAATAAAGTTTCGATCCGATACAGTTTTTTAAAAATACGTAGAAGTATAGATGAAAATTTGATAATTGGCATTAATATAAATATATGTTTATAAGAGATTAAATAAATAGTCTAATACTTAAAGTTTAGAAAACGAATTTAATTTTTTCTTTTTTGAGAGCAAATCATAAATGTGTTGATTTATTTATATTATTATGAAATATAAATTTCGTACATTATTTACAGTACTTGATAAATTTAATTATTTTCAACATATTAATTTTATATAATAATAAAAAAGATTAAATAAAATATGAATAATACTATACTATACACTGTTAGTATTTTTTTCAAGGCCATAGATGCTATATTAGATACACATGACGGAAATTAGACTTTACACTTTACATTATACTGATGCAATCCATATGAAGATCTATAAATGTTACACGGTCGATGGTATCAGTAAAAATCAATTTCATAATTTTGTAATTGATTTCTCGAAGAACGATGTATGCTTTAAGGAGGCAACGATTTTTTACTAAAATTTGTAAATTTGGAGGACCACGCGTCCCTATTCAAGTTACGCCTGTACTCACGCGATTTCCAAAACTTTTGAAAGCCGGAGGTCAGTCTTTGACTACAGTATGGTAGGCGTGCTTAGTTTCAAGATAAATGGATAGACATTGACACAACACGCCTGTACCACTAGCTGGCTTACATGTTAAATCAAATTCGAATTTAGTACTCGAAATGTACTTACCATTCGTCTTCCTAACCTGCAAAGTTATGAAACCTCTTTGCGACGCTACTACGGTTCGCAGTGTAAGCACATAGTTTCTCTACCCGATTCCCATTTGTTGCAAGTTAAATATTGGATTAATTACCCATTCACATGTTTTCAATGTTTGCATATCCTTTTTCAGCATACCCAAGTCATATAGTAGTCCCCATGCCCGCTTTATCTCCTACTATGACCATGGGAAACATTGGGAAATGGAGAAAAGAAATCGGCGATGCCATCACACCAGGCGATGTATTGGTAGAAATTGAAACTGACAAGGCCCAAATGGACTTTGAATGTCAGGAAGAGGGATACCTCGCAAAAATTCTCATAGAGACTGGTGCGAAGGATGTTAATGTCGGTAATGTAAGTATCTTTCAGTTTTTATAAACATTTATGTTTAAATCTAAAGATCTATCGAAATCACGTCAGCCCATAGCCATTATTGCCGAAGATCAAGAAGATGTGCAAAAGTTTACCGACTATGTTATTGAACAAAGTTCAACTACTCCTGAAGTTGAACAGGTTGAAGAAACACATGAGCCATCTGCTCAAAAGGAAACATCTAAGGAACCCCCGTCCGAAAAGTCACGTGAACCAATAAAAGGTCGTTCACCTACCGACCGAATACTTGCGAGTCCCGTAGCACGTAAATTAGCAGCCGAACGCGGAATTTCTCTTGATCAGGTTACCGGTACAGGACCGAAAGATCGCATTGTAAAAGCTGATATATTGAACTTTGTTCCTCCGTCAGCTCCTTCACCAACAGTTGATAAGCCGACCACATCAAGTGTTGAGGCTACCTCAGAATACACTGATATTCCTCTAACTAACATGCGAAAGGTTATTGCCGAACGATTAAGTGAATCTAAGCAATCCATCCCACATTATTATTTGACTATAGAGGTTGAAGTGGATAGACTCTTAAAACTTCGTGAAGAACTTAATAAAGACAGTGATGGAAAATATAAACTTTCTGTCAATGATTTTATCATTAAGTCAGCTGCTCTGGCATTGCTGGAAATCCCCGAAGCGAATTCATCTTGGCACGGTGACTTCATTCGACGGTATGCGCCTTCTTTACTATTAGTCTTTGAAATATATATTTTTTGTAACTAAAAATTTTAATTTTAAATTTCAGATATCACAACGCTGATGTTTCGGTTGCGGTCGCTACTCCTAGTGGTTTAATTACGCCTGTTGTGAAGAATGCACAAGCCAAAGGACTAGCGTCAATTTCCAGGCAGGTTAAAGAGTTGGCGGATCGTGCAAAAGAAGGAAAACTAGCACCGCATGAATATCAGGTTAGAAATCGTTATTCTATTAATGAAATAATATAATAAATGATATAAACTTTTCGTTATATTAATTCGTTCGTTAGGGTGGAAGTTTTACCGTTTCTAATCTTGGGATGTTCGGTATCAAATCTTTCACGGCTATAATCAACCCTCCGCAATCTTGTATTCTTGCGGTTGGCGCAACCAAACAAAAACTCGTACCCGATTCTAGTCAGGAAACAGGATATCAGATCGTGAACACCATGCATGTAACTCTTTCTTGCGATCATCGGGTTGTTGATGGGGCTCTGGGTGCACAATGGCTCTCTGCATGGCGATCCTACATGGAAAACCCAATCAAGCTGATTTTATAAAAAAATGCCATCATGTATTACTTATTTTGATGCAAAATTATTCATTCATTTTTTTTTGTCGGAACAGACTTTAATTTATGTTATTTTAGTTAAAAAAATGTATATTTATGATTTTTATATTTACATTAGTACTTTATATAATCAGGCCTGAGATAATATTGAACTTTGAATTTGATCCTACTAATGGTCAAATTAGTGGACAAACAGTTGGTAAATAGATAGATATGTTAAGGCCGCCAAGAAGACTTGAAATGCCAGTGGTAAACTGTTGAATAAACAATCAGCCATTCAGAGTCATGCTTACCACATCACGAAGCGCAATATTCATGTGAGAAAAGTTATCTGGTGTCGTTAAATCATCTCACACTTTCTTATTCAGTCAATTGCAAGATTAGCTTAACAATAATAGTATGAAAAAACGTGGAGCATAAACGGGAAGCTACGATGCTTGAAGGCATGGATAATCTTGACATAATGTCATTTATGTACTGAGGATTTGGATAACCACGTACAAATCTGGAACAATACATCTACACAATAAAGTCGTACATTACATGGGTATAATGTCTGGTCCTTCGATTGCATATACAATTGTACAACCAAGATTGTTACACGAAGAAACTTAATACAATCAGGGTTCAATTGTTGTGTAACGGTTACTCAGAACTTTTGTTAGCATCATGCAGGATTTTTTTTTTTTTTTTTTTTTTTTTTTTTTTCAGAAGTAAAACAGGTATAAAATCTGCCGAATTTCGCTATACAACCACAGAGCAATCCGTTGATTTTTTCAATTTCTACCTCTAACTCGATAGAAAAAAAAAAAGAATTTATACATACTCCAATCGAGATGTCTGATAATGAAGTCGGTTCCCCATTGGAAGAAACTACTCGCGACGACGTTGAAGATCAGAGGGAAACGGAACGTGAAAACGAAAACCCCGCGTTTCCTTTTTCAAATGAATGTGAAATTCGAACCGTTTTCTCTGATCCATTAAATTTTAACGTGAAGCACCCATTATTTAATAGCTGGACATTATGGTTTGACAACCCAGGAAAAAAAGCTAATACTGCAAGTTGGTCTCAGAATTTGAAGGAGCTGATCACCTTTGATTCAGTAGAAGAGTTTTGGGGGTGAGTTTATTCACAGGTTTGCGTTCTCACATTGACTTTATAGTTGATATATCCATTTTTTCATTCTTTAGTGTCTATAATAATGTTGTCAAGACTAATGAACTTACTTCCGGTTCGAACTATCACCTTTTTAAACGTGAAATAAAGCCTATGTGGGAAGACCCGGTGAATGAAAATGGTGGAAAATGGGTCATTCAATTTCCTCGGCATAAGACCGGTGAGGAAATTAACACTCTTTGGCTCTACACGGTAAGTTTATTCTGCTTCTATAGTTTCCTACCTTAATTATACTCGATTATGATGTATATGCATATATACCACATCAAAAATTTGACAGATGCTCGCATGCATTGGTGAATCATTTGATTATCCGGATGAAGTTTGCGGTGCTGTGGTTTCTGTCCGTAAAATTTTTTTCAGGATTTCCCTTTGGACACGCACCTCAACTAACAAAGATATTTGTGAAACTCTTGGGTATGGTTGAATTTATTATGTGCTCTTTCCAACGTTGCAACTGTCTTATCTGAATGTTGTTGTCCTTGAACTATAGACGCCAATTGAAGGCAACTTTAGGTTTAAATCAAAATCAACAACTTGAATTTCAACCACATAATTCCGATTCTAGTAAACCTGGTTCACATAAAGAACGTTTCGTTGTATAAAAATGAAGAATAATACATGGACGCTTTAGGAATTTCGTACTCAAATGATGTATTCCATTATTTTATTCTTTCTTTGTATATTGCTTTCTAGATTGAAAATCTATTACTTTCTATTAGTCGCTGCTTTTGATAGGAGCTCCTTAATGTCTAGGAAGTGATAATTATATCAAAATCTTCCTATTCTGTATGTTATCTTTTTAATTTGTGATACTGTACAATTAGCAGTATCGCAAGATACAGATATAGGTCATTTTACAAAATTTAGGCAGTACATCTTTTCAAAAGATCAAAATTCTGATTTTACGACGATCAATTCAAACTATGAGTTCCAGCGGATTGACCGAGTTCCCTTTCCACCAACCCTTGAACATGCTATTGTTGAATATAGAAGTGTGATCTAATTATTATTTTTATCAATAGATTACTGCAAATCGAATTTATTCTGAAATTAGGGTGGGTCTTTCTTAAGGTGCTAATTTCCGATAATAAAATTCCGAATAAGATTAAGCTTTATGATTAAACTATACGATTGAATGCTAATTTTCGCGATATTCATTTAAAGTTCCGAATATTACTAAGATCGTGCAATTAAAAGTTATTTGAGTCTTTTTTTTCGAAATAAAGTAGAGCTTACGTACTCTGATCAGACCAAAGTAACGCCTAATATGATAGAACGTCGAATGCGTCTTAAATATCATCAGCGTCTAGTGGTAATTAACATATTAAATATTTTAATTAACCTCTTAAAAAATTTTAATAGAAATTATTTTTAGAATATGCGATTAAGTTGAATTGATCTACACATAAATCAATATGATTAATCACAATTGATCAAATTTTATCGATAAATAAAACTTAATTTTTAAGTTAGAATATACAGTATGAATCGTGCATGGGAGAGAAATAAGCAGAGGTAAAAAAAATTATAAATTTATTGATTTTATTAACAAATGTACAGTACTTGTTGGTTTTTAAAAATTTCTTTTTTTAGATAATATGCGTGGTGTATAATAATAAAATCACAACTCTAAGATTTCCAAAAATAAATATTTGTATATTGATTAATATTAAGTTATTTATTTATTAATGCATATATACAGTTTATCTAAAAGTCTTTAAACAAATTCTTTTATTTGTAATTTATTTGTAATTTAATAAATAATTAATAAAATTAAATAAGTTTAAATATATGTTAATAAAAAACAAATTCATTTAATGGTTTTTTACTAGTATATTATTTTCTTACAATAAAAAATATATAGTATATTATAAAAAAAAATAAAAATCTTTTATATGCAAGTACAATAAGTTAAATATTAATTTATTTATAAAAACTGTAAGATTAATATTGAGAATAAATTTTAAAATAATAAATTTATCAAATAATATTAAATAGCCAATTAAAAGTAAAAAATCAAAATTAAAATTAATTAAAGAATATAATTAAAAAAATTATAACAATATTAAATAAAAATATTTATAATTAAAAAAACAGATTAATAAAATTTATATTTTATAATTTAATAAATATAAATTTTTTAAATATAAATTAATATTGTTAATTAAAATTAAAAATTGAAATTAATATTGAAACTATATTAACTTATAATAAATTTAATATATAAGTTATAATCTATTATATTAGACTTATAATAAATTTATTTTCAATTTGATATTAAAATAATATTATTAAAAACTTTAATTTTTTTTTGGGAGAGGTTTTCTCCAATAGGTAAATATCATTTCTTTATTTTTATTGTATATTGTAGGTATACATTATAAAAAAAACAATATTTCTTGGGTACATATTGCATACAATAAGTTAAATGCTAGCTTGCTTACTTGATCACTATCTAACTAATATTGTAAAAAAAATTTCAAAAGCAATATTAAAATGTTAAATAGTGGAGTAGCGGCTATGTCTACTTACTTAACAAAATTTTATGAAATCTTTTGACTTTTTGAATAAAAAATAAATGAAAATAAAATAATAACAGTGAATAAAACTAAAACTAAATCGAATAGACTATAAAATCTATAAGTAAAAATCCAATTATTTCCTCAAAAAAGTTCCTGGACAGGTGCGTGGTCTCATTTTTTCGACTCTTTGGTTAGCATAGATAGAAAAGTACACATGACATTATTTGTTGTTATAGTTGTTGTTGTTGTTGTACTGAAAAACTGGTTTGAACAGTTTCAGTTTTTTCCTTGTTGTTTTGCCGAAATCTGATTGAATGATTGGAGAGCAACGATTATCTGGAGGGGTAAACTGATTTCGGTTTTTTGGACAAAAAGTTTTGGAAATTTTGAAATGGCACAGTATTTTTACCATGATAAAGTTGTATGTAAAGGTTATATTAAAACAAACAATAGACCCAATAACTCTGTTTGAGTATGTTTTTTGGAAAGTATTTGACTTAGCATGTATAATAGTATTGATATAGATGGTTTTTATATTATGATAGGTGAAAGGAGAGGTACAAGAGAACAAAAGAAAAGAGAACTGTCATGTGCCTTTTCTCATGTAACTGAAAGATAAGCAAGACTCCCAAACTTGATTAAACTTTGACCAGAGATCCCATCCTATTGCACCATTTGTCTTGAAAGTTCTTGAGTTTTTGAGCTGGAGCTCACTTGTGATAAAGAGTGTAAAATATTTTTTCTTAATAAAAATTACCATAAAAAAAAAATTTTTAGCAAAGTAAACATGATCAGGAGAGAGTTTTAATATTAAAAACTTTAATTATAATTCTAAAAAAATAAATATTTATAAATAAAAAAACTTTTTTCTAATTGCATCTGTTTTGTTAAAAATTTTCCTTTTATAGTAATTTTAAGTAAAAAAAATGTTTTATATTCTTTATCACAAGTGAACTTCAGCTCAAGAACTCAAGAACCTTTAAAACAGCTGATACAGTGGGATGGGACCTCTGGTTATAGTCTTTTTAAGTTTGGAAGTCTTGTTTATACTTCGGTTGCATGAGGAAAGACCTGTGGCGATTCTTTTTTCTTCAGTTCTTTTACATCCCTCCTTATCCTTATTATATCATAAAAACCATTTACATTATTATCATTATACTCGCTAAATCATACACTTTCCAAAATATATACTTAAACAGAGTTAGTAAATCTATTGTTTGTTTCAAGTCAACCCTTACAGACAATATTTTTGCAATAATATTTGTTGTACCATCTCAAAAATTCAAAAATTTTTCAAACAAAAAACCAAAATCAGTTTACTCTCTTTAGATAATCAGTACCCTTCAATCATCCAATCAGATTTTGTGTAAAAATCAAAACAAAAATCGTGTCAACTTAAACCAGTTTTGTGTCACAATAACAACTTCAACAATAAACAGTATCACATGTACTTTACTATCTATGATAACCAAAGAGCTAGAGAGATGGAACAACGAGCCTATCTGGAAGTTCTTTTAGACAAATAATTGGTTTTCTACTTATAGATCTTATTATTATTTTTTTTTTAATCCCACAATTAGGTTGGTGTCATTTATTTATTAAATTACAAAGAATCATTACACACACAAGAATACATGCAAAGTACAAATTTCCTCAACTTAACTCACTCGTCGACAGCTAAAGCTTCTAGATGTGATTTATAAAGGTAATATATTGTTTTTCTAAAGAATAGAATTAAGATCCTGAATTTCTGATAGAATCAAAACCTGCAGATCACCTTCACAGTCATGATTATAAATTCAAATTGTGTCACACCCTCTTGTAGAAACTATGCAAGGGGAAAAAAAATAAAAAAGAAATTTTTTGATAAAGAGAAAAGAAAAAAAAAAGCTATTATCTATTCTAACTATTATTGAAAAGGTTATTTCAGTAAACTTAAAACCCAAGCTTCTTATGATTTCTCACTTCTTATTACTTGTGACCAAACACAATTGTTTAATTTTCATTGGAATAATTGATATTCAAGAATGTTTAAAAGTATTTTCAGGAGAGTATTTCTTGAAACTTTATACTTGAAGACTTTTAATTAGAAAAGATGTTGGTTTTCTATTGTTGATTGCTTTCCCAAGTCATGTTTTTTGAAATTATTACTTCACTCAATCAGTGGATAGTTTCAAGATTTCTTTTTCCAACTATTTTCAGGATAAATATCAATACTTCAACTTGTTATCAGATTGGAATAAGACCTAGACCTTGTTGCTACTTTCTGTCCTCAAGAAAGAATAGGAAAGAAAAAAATAAAATAAAAGAATAGAAACAAAAAGAAGTTGCTTCTCTTCTACTCACAACTTCTACTTCACCTAATACTCCTATACTATTCCTTTAACCAAAAACTATTCAACTCTTTCAGGAACCAATCACATCATTGGTTGGATATTGTGTGACTGGGAACACATAAGGAGTACATGTCTTGTTTACTTTTTTTGAGGCTGATGTGATTAACCAATCTGTGACCTTGACCAATCATCTTTCAGGAGATCTGGTATAATCAAAAATTCAGGATCAAATTGAGGTAAGCAAAATTCTCCAAAAAAAAAAAAGCATGTTTGAGAAAAAAAAAAAGAGAAGTCAAAGAGATGATGGAAAAACTAAAGATTTTTTTGTTCTTGTTTCTCTGGATTCTTGAATCTTTTGGAAGTTTTTGAAAGATATTTTTTTCTTGTCAGTTTTCTTTATAGAAAAGTGTTTTTGCCATAAACTTTTTAGGTAAGTTTCTTGTATTTAGTTATCAAAATAAACAAAAAAAGTGTTTTAAAAAGAAAAAATAAAACAAGTGGTAGCTTTTGCTCACTCTGCTAGTTAAGGAACCAGTATTGTTAAGAAAAGTGTATAGATTTTATTATCATAAAGACAAAAAGTCTTTTGAGAATGTCTGTTTTTTGAGTTGGCAAAAGAATCAGCAGAAAGAGTTTTTTCTTTACTTATAGATCTTATAGTTTATTTGATGAAGTTTTAGTTTAGTTACTTTTAATTTTTTCTTCTCAATTTCTTTTATTAAAAAAAAGATTTTACCAAACAAC